AAATTAATGTCACGTAAGCCATGCTAATTCTCTACTGAGTCGGGAGGTGACAAAGCTGTTGCAGATAAACGACGATGACGTATGCTCTGAGGTCAGGGTTAAGTTCTGATCGAACGCGGAAAAAATCTATTCCGCAACAGGGAGGCACGAAGTAACAAGTAATGCGAAAGGCGCCAATGTTCAGTTTTACTGAGATCTGCCTCAAATCGACACAGCTCACCAGATATTTCTCTGTGCGTGTCAATATCCAGAATCAAAAGTCATTGTTAGAAACACATTTTGGGAAACGGTGTATGCAAAAAGCAAAAAAGTGGGGAAAACAAATGAAAAGTATTCTGATAGAAAAGACGAGAAAAGGGCCAGTGCTCGAGGATATATCAAAGAACACATTGTGGCAGATTTTGACGTGATTTAGGAGCACTGATATGCAAATTTGTTTGATTTACAGTGAATGATTTCAAACATTCTTCGGACTTATGAGGAAGAATCAATGGTAGGAATCCGACTGGTGCTCCAGACGGGTCGTAGAATGCGGTTCTCAAGAAAAACCAATGACAACGTTGGCAGGCATAAAATCTTTGCATTTGACTATATATCATTTCTTTACATTTCCTGAATGATATTACAAGCTGGTTTTCTCAAAAGGCTTTGATCATATACAGAAATTATCGCCACAACTGACCGTTTCATACTGATTCGGAAAAAGTTGAAGTCGATAAACTGGAATTTCGAACGGGCTTATTGATAACCCATTGGTCTCCGTGGCACAGTCCGCGAGTAAACCAGATTTGGCCGCCTCAGTTGACGAGAGTGGAACACAGTGTACCCAACCGAGAACCTGATCGTTGGACAGCACACGATGCAGCCAAATCCGATCGTCCGGCCACATATTTTTGAACGGGATCCGGGACAAATCCAGGCAGGATGGTTTCTCTCTGTTCGGAGCCATTTGACCAATGGGAAACCAGCATGGGTGCATCTCCTCTGTGTGACAGGGCCACGAGGTATTCCCCGCCACTGACGGTTTCCAATCGCGACACATGAAAAGATGCACTTCCATGCACTGAAAGAGATGGAGAAATATCAAACGACGAACAAATTCAGAATTGATATATATATATATATATATATATATATATATCCCAAGCAAGAACAATAAATAACCGATGATGGTGCTATGAAGGACAATGAACAGCGTTACAATTACCCGGAATAATCCTAGATTATTCTACGTATAAACTGAACGCGTTCGGACTAGCTCTAAGTCTATCTTCAATTCTCGCAAAAACGAGATTTACAGGAACAACTGTTGTTGTAGTCAAGAAGTTGAATCTACAAGTGTTCAACTTCAAAAGTTGATTCATCGAGTAAGCTGAATTTGGAAACAACGATCCCGCTAAACCAGCACAGCTATCAAACATAGTGTTCATGTAGAAGCGAAGAAGAGCTGAATGTTGAGCTAAAACATACCACTCCAAGATAGACAAATCTAATCATATTTGAAGACGAAAACAGTTGGCGACAAGGATATTCTAGGTTGAAGTTATTTTGATGATTGCCTACCGCACAGGTTGTTGGAGGTTTAGCTGTGTAACTTTTTCGTCAATAATAGTGCAGAGCCATTTCGATAAAAAAATATTGGGGACTATCCTCACGTGGTACAACCCCCATTATAACTGACAGTGCTAAGTCGGGTACAACATACCTGGGTGGCGGACCTGAGCGCGCATTAATCATTTATTCAGACTGATTGAAATCAACAATTTTCACCTTTCCACTTCACCGCTTCCCCCTCCCCCGACCCTCCAACCCAGTGTTCTGACATCCATGAGAGGATTGTCTTTACCCGAACAAATAGACAGACGTAGGCGACAACTCTTTCCTAATTGGAAAAATAGACAATGAAGAACGTAACGTGACACTCTCCCCCCGCGATGCTACTATACACACACACACACACGCACACACACAGGTATCTCACCAGATCCTGTTCCAATAGCAGTGGCAGCAGCAGCGACAACAACAACAACCCAGAACCTAACGAACAGTTTCAAATACTGATTTGGCCGNATTTGGCCGCAGCTATTTGATCCAGCCAATCTGTGTTTATTAAGCTCAGAGGAAAGGCGTTGACAGCGACGGAACTCTGTGCACTCGTCAGTCCCCACCTGAGTTGATTTGGGACCAGTATGGGATAAATCGGTTTTAAGAAGCCCGGGGTGAGCACAAGTAATACACTCGAAGATGACTAATCAAAATTGCGACCATTCAGTCGGTCAAGTAAACCAGCATCTGATTATACTTTCCGCTTGGCTCTATATCCGGTTACAGAGCACACCAAATTGCATTGGTAAAGATTGATCAGCGAATCAGAGGACAGTTCTTTCCTAAATTACACAAAACGCTCACATACATCGTGCAAACTCTGCGCATTCCACAGATAAACAATGCCTATTACGTTAGGAGAAACATATTCCTGCCCCTATTCAAGCGCGTGATCAAGGATTTATATTAATTATAATATATATGAGTGTATCGGTCACTGTTATCATCAAGAGGGACCGGGTGTGCAGACAGATCCCATCACCAAAGAAAACCCAACCAAATATATCCGAAAATACATCAAATATAGTGTCTAATGCAAACTGTTGGCGTTGATCTCAGGGAAAAGTGGCCCAGCTAATAAAACGAACTCTTCACATCTCGTCAACGACTAGATCAGAACGGACGGAAACCGCAATCAGGACGAAAGAACAGCTCCTCCTCTCCCACGCTCCCACCCTCACACACCAGTTCAACTTCGAACCGAGTCGAACACAGTGAGAACAAGGGACAAAAAGTCGGTAGAGAAGAACACATATATAAACGAACTGGTACAAGCAGAACACTGCCACCTCACAAGCACTGATGATGTCACCTCGGATGGTGATGAAACGCTTGCAAACAAATCGCCAAGTTCGGCGAACAGGTGAAACGGAAGAAGGCTCTGAGTCACAAAGCAGATCCGTTTTGTCTTAAAGTTGCAAGACATTGAATACTATAGTTGCCGAACGCACCGTAGAGAAACTAACCACAGTCAAACAAGTGTCCACTTGTGCTGCAACAACTGAAAATTGGAGTTCGGAGTAAATAGGATCACACGGTTCGTCACGTGTGCTGAAGTAGGGCAAGATAAACAGTAATGAGCTACCACAAAAGTAAATCAGGTGTCCAGAATAAATTATCTCCTACCACACAAAGCATCGTTTGGAAGTAAAAGAAAACAGTTCCGGTAATTAGAAACAAACAATAGACTTTCATTGTGGAACAACAGTAACAATGCAAATGCTGTGGCAGAACTATCTGTGACTTGTGTACGATTTGTGGACCCACTCAGTTCTTTGTAGTACTGAAGCAAAATATTCACCAGAAAAAGTTGGATAATTGACAGGCAACCGTCTTGGACCACATGATGTCCCCTGCTACATTGTTTCTCCTTATCTCTTTCCGTCCTAGTTCTATTCACAAAATTACATGCATTGACAGAACTCACGCGGAGAATTTGTTTAGTCAACAAAAAGTCACTAATATTGTCGTGTGTATGCTTTCCCCCCCCCCCNAAATCCGGACGACAGAATTCACAAAGGGCCTCACATGTGAACTGTCAATCAGGAGAAGCTATCCGTCAGTGTTCTCTTCGCGACGCGGCGAGTTCAGTCAGGCACAACATATGTACCTCGAAGTCCCGGCATAGAGTCCGATCAACCTTATTGATGTGTATCTTGGGAGTCAGGTATAAGCCAGCAAATAGATCAGGTGAAAATCAGTATTCCCATACTGAATCTATTATTCCAGTCGACTTGGATGCCGACACTCACAACTCTGTGTACTTGTTCAGAAAGATTGTAAATTAGCAGAGTTGAGTGAGCCTTGTCACAGGAGTTAGTAGCTCAGGTATTTGGAGCCTAGCAACGGTACTAACCAACCTTACGTGTTCCATAGCAGCATTCAACCACAAACTTGATTACACATTGATAATATAATCCAGGATATCGAGAATAAAAGTTAATCATTACCGATATGATGAGGCGTATAACATACTGGTTAAAAGTGTACTAGCGCACTACTGACAACTTTTAATTGTACACAAGCTGAATTGACGGGTATTGCACTATTGAAGTCCACATCACAAAAACTGATGCATATTTGGAGGAATGCAACATGTCACTACAAAAATGAATCAGGACGCAATAATAATATTCTATGTATCATTATTATGTTTCATACACGTCCGAGTTCAGACTGTGTGCCAAACAAATCATCGTACTACTGTTTTTTGTAACAAAGAAGGACGCCCATGATTTGCCTGTGGGCGAGATACTGTTAGGTTTCCTAGGTCAATGCAGGTAAATTTTCTTGGGGACTCAGAACCAAAGCTTGACCCGTAAGGCAGTGAGTGAAAACCGCAATCCATTGGGAGTCAGTGTCCGGTTTGTCGGATCATGCGCCCTTTGGACAGAGTCAAACGTCCGAGGTGTCCCATAAACCTCAATGCAAAATCGAGTCAGTAACCGCTACCATAACTAGGCTGTGTGCGTGTTTCTTAGGCTTTTTCATGGTCGGTTTGGAATTTTTCGGCCCACTCTCCTAGCTCAACTGATCCGGATGTTCACTTTTGACCAATTACCTTTGGTGGGAAAACACCTGCACCACGGGAAGGCAGTGAGTAGGGCTTAGTCAGCAGACGCTATTGAAGACGCCCGGTCGTATAGGAGTATTTCGCAAGGTGCTTGAGAAATTTGACAGCCACAACCTGAGACAACTGCTTCCAACCATACTGAGGCTTTTGGAGGCAATATTCTATGCGATGCGAGTTTCGCTAATACACAGCACCTGAATTATACCGGAGGAATAAAAATGACAGCTGCAGTACAGTAACCAATGAAAGCCTATGACTTTGGGTGGGCGGAATACCTCATAAATGCCCAGGTAGATAGAGTAAAATTCTGCATCGCTAGACACAAAATTCGGCAATCGGTGATAGGATAAAGGATCACGAAATTTAGTCATAACTTAATCTCAATGGGTCTGTGATTCTGGGTTTGAAGTGCCACGTCGATCACACTGATTTTATAAGGTTGTCGTCAGGGGAAAGCAGCAAAACCCACCACATGTGTGGTACCACCACTGACTGAGACAACTCGCAGCCAGCGGCCCGAAAAAGTTCATGCAAAGTATTGGTCATTTCATATCAACGATTGCCACAAAAGAAATCGAAAATGTTGTACACCATTTTATGCCTGCGAGGAAGCAGCATCAACGCATAACACGCGAGCAATCTGGGCTCGGTATTGAATATGAGTCCTATGAGCCCTACACTGAGCTACCCGAGCTGATAACAGCTATATTGCACATAATTTGACCTGATCCCATCCGCCATTTTCATTTAACAATGACATTAACGAAAAAACCGAAGCGATAACAGATACTTCTCGGGAAAATAATCATATTAAAATTTTCCAGCACATAAAATCATTTGAACACTCAGACACGAAAATGATTGTACGTGTATCGTGGATTCTTTGACTGGAAAATTATTGCAACAGCGTCTGTTGGTGTCTACTGAGATAATGCACAGACAGAGCATTTCGGGACGTTAAAAAGCGGTTCATCAAATGAACAGATAACTTGCTGGTGTGTATCTGACATTTTCAAAAACGCATAGATGCTGATGTGTCGACAGGTGTTTGTGTGACAGCACACACCTAGCACGTGCCATTACGTCGAAATGTAATGCACACACACACACACACACTCACAGTCAGTCCGCATATGCACAGCCTTCCACTAATCGAATCCTTATGATTCTCAACACAGCGTGAATCGCGGTTGATCAGATGACTGTCTCCCATCAATCACGAGTGAAATTTCGGGATTTTCAACCATTTTCTTCGTCTTCTTCCACACATAACCCATTTTGTTGCGGCAGTACCACTATTGTTGCCGATTATGTTGATCTTGAGCGAGAAAGTTTTTATGGATAAGCTACGCCACAAACCTCTGGTGAAAACAAACGACTGGGCC